AGATTTCTGTCCTGTTTGAGTCAGCAATCGTGGAGAGTGGCCACCTGCCCTAGCAGCTGCTGAGGAGGAGCCTGTCCGTCCCCTACCCTCATCGAGCCCCAAACCCCAATGGCTTCTGATGTCGCTGGCATTGCACCTGGGTGCTGCACCCCCATCCCCACGCTCACCTGCCTGGACCCAGACAGGAGAGGTCTGGGCAGGGAAGGTAGACACTGTCCCGGCTGGCTGGCAGGCAGGAACACACACTTTTCTCTCCCCCCACCCCAGTGAGAAGCCCTTTCTGTTGTCACAGCCTCCTTCCTTTCTCCCAGGGAAGGAGTAAACCCACTGTCAGGACTGGGTCACTTGATTTTGCCCCAACATTATGCCTCTGTGGGGGAAAAAAAAAAGTCAGACCATGATATAGGCCTGAAATTCAGTGTTTACCATGGCTCAAGGACACCCACCTGGTGCCCAGTTGCCTTTTGTTTTCAAATGAAGATGCTTTGTTCAACTGAGGAGTTACAGTGAAGTGTTAACCAGGGGTCCGGGGAGTGAGTTGTAAAGATGAAGTGAGTGGATTTGCAGCCAGGGAGTGGCGGGTTATAGATTTGGCAGAAAGGGAGCCATATCCTCTGAGCACTTAAAAAAGGTGTATTTGCTCCAGGCTGGGCAGCAGGCTAACATCCTTGCCACCACCGGGGACCACTTCTGAAGACTCCCCAGGCTGCTGCTCTATCCCTAGAGTGTCCAGGTGAGCAAGGCTTCTGTACCAAGGGGAAGCTATCACTGACGGTCATCCTACTGCCTTTCTAAAAAGAATGTTAACAGTGGTGGGCAGTGTGCTTGTCTCAACCCCTCTAGAGACCTGGCCCAAAGCTGGGGCCTGCCAACCAGGCTGCAAAGGTGGGGGAAGGCCACACCTTAAAAAGAATACAGGCTCCAGACTGCTAGAGGCCAGGGCCTTCTACATTCAGGCTAACAGAAGTGGGACATCACCCCCAAGTGACCTTTTCAGTGGGCTTGTCCAGCAGGTAGCCATTGCCTTGCCAGCTGTGCATAGTCAGCCACCTCGGGGGGCCATGCCCACCCTCCTGAGGCCACCCTTGTGCAGCGCCACCCACCCTCCTCCAGCTCTGTTTTGGCTGAATTAGAGAGCAAAAGGCACTACTGTCCAGGCTAGGTGCTATGAAAGAATTAAGTGCTCAGAGGGTCTGGGAGCCCAGGGGACAAGAAAGTATATGGTGTTAGTACGTTCAAGGGACAATCGCTTGCAGTTAGTAGATCTAGCGATCTCGTTGAGAGATAATGGTGTTTACCCCATATGAAGTATTCAATAGTTCTACTTGTGAATTTGTATTTATTTTGAGTTATACTTGACACAGAATTCCTTTTTTTAAAAAAAAATACTATGTGTGTATTTTGAAAAAAAAATCATAGATGTTAAAATTTTTGCATGGTTGCCAACTTTTCTCACAACACTGAATTTGGTAGCTTCTCCCGAAAAAATCTTCACAGTGATTTTTGTCTGTATATATTTGAGGGCCTTTTTTAAGAAAAAAAAAAAAAAAGAAAAAGAAAAGAAAAATATAATTGCTTGATTTTTGAGATAAGAAAAGAGGCATTGATAAAACTTCAGGAGGGCAACAGAATATCAAACCAAGATTTCTGGAAGTATTTTTGCAAATCTTACTGAGCTGCAAGAAAATATTTATGGTAAGAACTTTTCTTTTTCCTGTTACTGGGAGTTTGGTTGTTTTTTTGTTTGTTTTTTACTATGCTTTGGTCTGTAAAAAGTATGCAACTGAACTACATTAAGAAGGAAATATTGTCTACATAGATATTATATGAAGTTGGTACATAATTCTGATAAGGAAAAAAAAATCTTTGCAATTCTTTAAGCCATATTGTTATTATTCCATGCTGTTTTCCTTGGATGAAAATATCAGTATTAAGTAGCCTGCCTATTATTCAAGTATTTAGACTTATTATTAATATGTTCTTGTCCTGTATTTATGCATATGTGTATTTTGGAAAGTTTTGCCTTTTTAAAGGGAAGCTATTATTAGATACATAGCGAAAAAGGGAATGGTGCCTCTTCTGCTGAGGATAACGGAGCGTTATAATCCATTCTCTTGCACCTTCTTTTTATTATCTTGTTATTATGATTTTTATTAATTTTGTAGATGGGGCAGGGAGTGGGCAAGGGGGAGAGGAAGCATTGGACTAACCAGCCCTGCTGAGCCCTGCCAACCCCTCGGCCTGGCCGGGGGCTTCCCATCAGCAAAGCCATAGGAGGGAAGAGGAGGCAGCTGGCAGACTTCGCACCCCCATTGGAGCTTTGCCATCTGTGCCAAGCCTCGGGGCCATGCTCCTTGAACTTGGATGTTTGTCAACCAGAGCCCTACACCGGCCCTGCAGCATCTAATAGACTTGAATCTACTCTAAATGAATATTCAATTCCAACCTCACTACATCGTAGCCCAGTGCAACGACTAACCCTGAAGTGTGGGGTGTTCCGGCCGTCTGTGAGGTGGCTAGCCTCCCCCTGCCCCCCCAATGGGGTTGGTGGCAGAGAGACTGCCAACCTCACTGTCTGACCTCTTCCACCCCACTGTGCTGACCCTGTCCGTGTCTGTATCTGTTAATACGTGTGAGTCCAGCTAAAAAGACAAATAGAACCCGTGGGCCCAGCCTGGAGGGGACGTGGAGAAGCTCCCGACTTCTCCCAGGGTGGCCCTTGGGATGGCATTCCGTTGTGTGCCTTATTCCTGGAGAATTTGTATACGGCTTGCCTATAGAAATATAGCCTTTTTACGCTGTATTAAAAGAACTTTTAAAAGGAAAAGAGGCTCGCTGGTCTTGTTTACACAGAGTGCATAGCATGGGCGGGGGCTAGATGTTTTCACAGAGGCATGACGTAGGGCAGGGGCCGGGGGCAGAGCTCCCACCTCCCACGGGTCTGGGCCACCTTGTCCTTGCCTGGTCTCCACACTTGATTTGCCACCTCCCATCACTTCAGCCCCCAAGTGGACACTCTCTTCAGGGCAAAGGCCCTCCCCCAGTTGGGCCCCAGACTGGGTGAGATTGTCGGCAGATTAGGTCACACGTTAGCTCTCCAGTGGGACTCCCGGGTAACCATATATAGGAGTGAATCTTCCTCGAGAAAGCAGCCCTGGGCCTCACCCGCTGCTGCTGCTGCTGCTGCTGCTCATGTGTGGCACGCTGGGCCACAATCAGGATTTGGGGCCCAGACATGGGGCATCACACAGTGAACACACTGAAGTGTTCAGGGAAGAGAGAGCAAGGAGGCCCTTTTCTAAGCAGGGCCAGGACTGGGCTGGGCTGTCACAAGGCGGGGGCTCCTGCTGATGCCACAGAGGGAAGCCATAGCGAAGCAAGGCCATCAAAAGCCACCTGCCTCCAAAGCCCCTTGGCTCAGGACCAGTGCTCTTGTTTTTCCCAGTCTAGCAGGGGCTTTACAAACACCAAAGCCTTGGTTCCACCCCAGAGAAGCTGACGAATTGGTCTGGGTGTGTCCTCGGATTTTTAAAGTCCCCAGGTCCATTGTGCATCAAAGTTGAGCAGCACCAGGTTCGGAGATGGTCATCCCACATTCCCCTGTGAGGCTGATGGTGATTCAGTGAGGAGGCCAGTGGGTAGGAGGGAGGTCCCAGCCCTACCCAAAGGGCATCAAGTCCTCAGCCTCAGCTAGTCCTTAAAATCTTAAGAATAATGCTGTGTGATGGGGGAAGGGGGAAGAGGAGAGCTGGAAATCCCAACCCACAGAAGAAATTGTTCACGTTTTAAATGTTGGCAACTAGTTCACTGAATTTTTAAACAGTGTATAGGTCAGAGCCTATGTTTGTGGGCCAGCAAGTTCCTCCAGACTACAGCCGCCGAGACGGAGCAGAGAAAGCACAGAGCCAGGCCTTGGGGTCAGGGACCATGGATGGGGGAAGGGGAAGACAGGCAGGAAGGAGATCAGTGAGTCCAGAAGCAGGACTTCTTGTCTTATTCAGGGTACAGAGGAAATCCCTGAGGCCACCAAGCCTTTTCTTGCTTATTGATATAAAGAGAATTCCCCTCCAGATACTGCCCTTGAAATAGGGAATGGTAGGCAGGACTTGCCCCCACCAGTGAGAGGGGGATTGGATCTTTCTCTCTCTCTCTCTCTCTTGTCTCTCTCACACACACATACGCACCTCATAAGAGCTTCCTCTGTAGCAGGCAACCTGCCAACCCATTGAATTCTCCAACAGCTGGGAAGGTGAATCTGAGGACCAGAGACCCCTGCCTGCCTCAGAGCACTGCTGGGAGGCCAGGCCTGCCTCTTCCAGCTATGTGACGTGGGGACAGCTTCCCCTGCCTCTCCAAGTGGGATATTTTGCTGATAAAACATCCCAGTGAACACAAAACCTTGAATTCCAACTGGAACACCCAGGTGGGGCCCAGGAAATAAGCATCTCTTGATCCCTTTTTGTCTGTAGCATAGGCAGAAACA